AATCTTTGAGATTTTCGAGTTTTTAGTTGTTTTACTTTTTGAAACAATTTCAGATTTTGAGAAAAGCTTGAAATTTTATGAAAAATCTAAATTTATCATCTTTTTTGGAAAAAAACAAACTCAATAAATTATTTGTAGCTAGAAATTTCCAAATTTCCAGAAACTACAAAAAAAGGGATTTCTAGATTTTCAGATTTATTTCAGAAAAATTCAAAAAAAAAATAATTCAAGGGACATTTTTTGAGGAAGGAAATATTGTTTTTTCCAAAATTTCTGGATTTTCTGGAAATTTCGAATCAAATTGCGGAAGTTTTTATTTCTTTTAGAAAATCGGAAGTTCAAAAATAAATAATGTGATAAAATAAATAAAATTAGCAAAAACGTTTGAAGTTTCAAAATGATTTTCATTGAAAAATTTTTATAAAAACTCTGATAAATTCTTAAAACCCAGATAATATTTTTGTAGTCACAAAAACCAAAATTCCGGGAGTTTTTATTACGTAAAAATACAATACAATACAATACAAATCTGGAAAAATCGTAAATTCAGATTTTAAGACATCCAAAAAATTATAAGAAAACACAAAAAATGTATTAAAAAATGGGGAAAAAAACTGGTTTTTTGATATTGTAACTTTTTTTCCAAAATTTCCTAAAGCTTTCCTTTCAAAACCAATTTTTTAAAATTTCTAACCAAAAATAATTGAAAACGGTTGAAAATGAGCCGAGTTACAGCGCACTGAAGTTTTGCTGAGGCTAAGACTACAAACTACAAAATTTTCTAAGCCTCAGTAAAATTTCAAATCACTCTAACTCGGCTCATTTCCGTTCGTTTCCGATGATTTTTGGCTCAAAATGTCTGGAATTTGTTGTTTTTTTAGAATTTCAAACGCCTATAAAAATATAATTCCAATAAAATGTTGCTCGAAACTTTCACCCAACGAAAAGTAGTTTTCAGACAGTTTTTGTCATTTTCTGACTCTGAAAATTCCCCAAAAATTTTTTTCTCTAATTATCCAAAAAAAAAAAAAGATTCACCTGAAAATGAAAAAAAAAATTCCGCCTACTCAAATTTTTTTTTCAACCAAGAAAAAAACAAAAATGTGCTCATTTTGAAGAAAAAAAGTCAGTGAGCACATCTTCTATTTTACTTGAAAAAGGCAAAAAAGAGGAGGCGAAGAAAGGTTTGTTTGCTTAACCTAACTAAACCAATTTTAAACAAAAAAAGGCGCGAAAAACGAAAAGAAATAAAATATCTTTAAATGAGAAAATGAAAGAAAATGAAGAAGGCAAGAAAGATTGGCCTTTTTAACTTGATGAGAGATTTCAGGATTTTGGAGAATTGGAAATTTTTTTAAAAAATTTGGGTAGTTTTGAAATTCCAATTTTTTGAATTTCATGAAATATTAATTAATTGTTTATTGATCAGGTGTAATAAAACATTAGAGGGCAGGTCATGAAAGACTCAGAAAAAATGCCCCTCACGAGGCCGATCTGAGTAGGGGAGGGGAAACGGGATAATTAAGATATTTGACACAGGAAAGATGTAACCGGTAGAAGAAGAGAAATTAGGGGAGCAAATATATCAATAACGAGTAATACTAGAAGAAATGAAGGATTCAAATTCGGAAGGTAGGAGAAATCGGGTAACTTGGGAAGTGATGGCGTTCCACAGGGGAACAATTGAAGAAAAATAGTCAGAGGAGTAGGGCTGAACAATAATTAAGTTCATAGGGCGACGAGGGGAGGAGGAGTATTGACATGTGCATTTAGGTTAGGAAAGTAGGCGGAGCCATTTAAAAATTTGTAGAGAAGAATTAGTTGAGCTTTTAGACTACGATGTCGAATGGAGAACATATTGAGGATAGAGAGACGATCAGAATAGGAACTGTACTGGATATTACAACGCTGGAAAATACACTTAGAGAAAAATCTAAAGGGAGATTCTAGTTTTAGAGCAAGGCGAGAAGAAGGCGGAGGGGAATAAACAACAGAACAATATTCAAGAATCGGGAGAACATAACATTTGAAAAGATGAATGTAGAATTCTGGAGACTTAGATCTAAATGACTTTAAGAGTTGTTTGGAGCGGAGAAGAGCTGAAGATGTGATTTTGTTGATGTGAGCAGAGAATTTGAGAGAGGAATCAGTAATGAGTCCCAAGTCCCGGACGGAGGAGGAGGAGGGAGTAAGTGTGACACCCGCAATATTGAGAGGATGGGAAGAATTATGGGAACCTAGGCGAAGAAGGGCAGTTTTAGAGTGGGCAAAGGGAGATGGTTGGCGGTAGCCCAATTTACAACCATGTTGATACCAGTTTGAAGGGCGATTGGGTCATGAGAATACAATTTGATATCATCAGCAAAGGCGGCAAGGTGAAGAGAGGGAATTTGTTCAAGTTCTAAGAGCAGATCATTGATGAATATGAGAAATAGTAAGGGACCGGAGACTGATCCTTGAGGAACACCAGAGGGAATGACAGAGGAATATTGAAAAAAAAAACTTTTAAAGGTGGGGGGACATGAAAAAAATAATGTTCTCGAAATTCCGTTCAAAGATGCCCCTCGAGGAGTTAAACTAGCGGGGGCGAGGATTGAGGGTGCGGCGCCGCAACCGACTGAGCTACACGGGCAAAGAGAAAGCGCACGCCCGATTGCATACATAAAGGCGAGGACGACAGCTGTACGGAGAGTGACATTAAGCGTTGTACACCGT